GGCCTGTGCATATTATATGAAACATTCCTATTTTTATGTGATTAATATTCACATCATGTGTAATCATTTTTATAGCTTTTTTTCTATATGTTCAGCTTTATTTCTTGTTCATTATCTTTCTGTTATTCCTTTTTCATTTTTGTAGCTTTTATAGAATTTCCTTTTATTCTTTTTTGATGACAATAAATTCTTTGTTCCCTTTGCTCCTTTCCTCCTCTTAAATTTTTGTTTCTACTATTTTGAATCATCTTACAAAGTATTTGCTGTCTTTTTCTTTGTCCTTCACTTTAATTTCTATTTGTGTCCTCTTGGCTAAAATGAAAAGAACATGGGAAATGCTGAAGACATTTCTTTTGCCAGAGTGTCATAATATTCTTACGGTGATGATTAATATATCTGCACAACTCATTGAGTCAGTTATCAATTTCTTCTTGAAAGATAAAAATGTTTAATCTTTATCTTCTCTATATAATCCTCAAAGACTTGCCTTTAAATCATGCATCATTCCTTAATAACTTACCTAATTTCTATATTCATACAAGGTGGGATTATACATTTACCATAAAGAATTTTATTTAACATTTTCCTCAGTACTCCTATATTAAGAGGAGAACAATAGGTTTCAAAAGCTGGGAGCTAAGAATGTAACACTTTGTAGTTGACAAATGAAAGAAAATAGAAAAGAGCAAGGAGGTATTATAATATATACCTAATAAAATTCAGAGATTTTAAGTAATCAGTTCATTGAATTGTATTTCTCATGACTATGTAAACATCAGTCAAAATATGATAGTATCTTAAATTTTAAAAACTTTTGGCACATATTAAAACAACTAGCAACAACAAATGTTGAAGAGGATGTGGAGAAAATGAAACTCTGCTGTACCGCTAGTGGGAATGCAAACTGATACAACCATTATGGAAAGCTGTTTGTAAGTTTCTCAAAAGGCTAAAAATAGATTCCATATGACCCAGCAATACCACTACCCAAAGGACACAGAAACATGGATTCGAAAGGACACCTGCAACCCCATGTTTATTGCTGCTTTATTTACTACAGGGAAGATGTGGAATCAACCCAAATGCCCAAAAGTAAATGACTGAATTAAAAAGAGGTGGTAGATATACACAATGGAATATTACTCAGCAATCAAAAAGGATAAACTCATGTCTTTTGCAGCAACAAGGATGGGGCTGGGAGGGATCATGCTTAGTGAAATAAACCAGAAAGAAGAAAAATACTGGATGGTTTCACTCATAGCAGGAGCGTAAGGGATTGAGTAAAAATGAAAACAACGAACAACTATAAACCAGAGACATTTTATGGGGGTTGAAAGGGAAATGGGATCAGAACTGGGGTGGGAAGAGTGCACTGGACTATGGTAATGGCACAAAGGTGAACTGGTAGTGGGAAGCCCACAGGGATTACAACTGAGATGAAAAATGCACAAAATGAAGAATGATGTAAAAAAAAATAAAATAAAAAGTAAAATAAAATTTATATGAAAATTTTTTAAAACCTTCTCTTTCCAGTCATAGTCTCACTCCTACAGCTTTCCAGAAGCAATAATTTCTATTATTATCACAGCATAGTTTTGCCTATTCTTGCCATTACTATAAGCAGATTCATAAAATATATATCATGTGTATCTTCTTTCATGCAACATATTTTTGAGATTTGGGTATGTTGGATGTATCTTTTATTGCTGACTCGTAGAACTTCAAATGCTTTTTTTGAAAAATTACATTTCCATTATAAATGTAGATTTGCTCATCACAGAAAATATGACAGGTCAAGAGAAAAACATTCCCAAGTAGTTTATACTTTCTATACTTAGATGCAGTTAACAGTGATTGAGGCAGAGGAGGTGCATTTAAGTTTAGTATTTTTATGTTTAACTTTTTGCTCTGTGGAAATAAGTGATCACCCAAATGGGAACAGAGGTTAATTATTCAGAATTTGCAATAGCAAAACAATTGAGTACCATTACTTTCATTTGGTGGAGAGGAGAATGTGATAAGCAATATAGTGAAAAGGAGAGGCTTCAGTTGGAAATGTTTTTTTATTGCTCTTTTTTATTTTTAGACTTTCAATCTTTTATATATCCACTTGTTTTTGCAGATACTCCACTTTTCCCACTACAGTCCTTACATGAATCATAGTTGTTTTAAATTCTTGGGCTGATTGTCTCCTGACTGAATTTTGTTTTTATTTAAGTCTTGTTTTTGCTGAGAGTCAGACATGATGTGTATGGTAAAAGTAAGTAAGGTAAATGGTCTTTTAGTGTCAGATTTTGTTTATTTGGCTAAGAATTATGCCATGTTTTGTTTTTTTCCTTTGCTTAGTTACAGGTGTTTTTTCTTTGCGTAGCTATAGGTGTTAAAGGCTAAAATTTCCTCTGGTGGTGGTATTTTTGTCTCTCCCATTGTCTTTGAAAGTCTTTTCTAGAGAACCTACTTAAATAAAGTTCTTTCTCCTAGCCACTGTAGAGGAACCCTATTATCTCCTTGTTTAGTAATAAAATTTGCACTTAAAATAGTTATTACTCATCTGCATTTATTTTATAATGAATTAGAGGTTATCTTTTGATTTTCATTTTGGGTTATTTGACTTACTTATAAAGATATTAACACTTTACTATGTTATGATAAAAAGCCCTAGCAATTTGTCTATTATTTCAAAGCTTTTAAAGCTCTTTTAATCTTATATGAGTATATGACAAAACCAAGTTGTAATGTTAGTTTTGGTTTTTGTATTAGATTATCTTAATCCCTCTTGAATTTTACTGTCATGTGAACTAGAGAGGGGTCTAATTTTGCCGGATTATCAGCTAAGTTGTGCCAATACCACTTATGGAATAACCCTTTATTTTTCCTTTACAGATTTGATTGTTGCTTTTAATTCCTCAATTATTTTATTTACTTGATTTGCTTTTCAACATGTACTTCATTACATTACTCACTGTCTCCTGGTATTAGTACCACAATTAAAATTAATTTTTGTTTATAAGGCATTTTAATATTTACTATCTCGGGCTTACCTGGTGGTGCAGGGGTCAAAGTCTCAGAGCTATCAAGGTATCACCAAACCACTGGGCACAAGTCTGATTCCTCCTGGCCTACATCCTAGTTCTTGTATACATAAATAAATAAAAATAAATCTTTAAAAAATATTTAATAGCTCTCCCACCGTTTTTAGTTCCCTTTTCAAAGATTCTTTATTAGTTTCAGGTCTGTATTTCCAGATAGAATAATTCTGATTATTCTAGATTTTTTTTTTTAAAGATTTATTTGTGCATACAGAACTGGGATGCAGGCCAGAGGCTCAGGGGCGGTGAGAGGCTTCACCAGAGACAGAGTGTGGAACAGAATAGGCAGATCGAGGAAGTCCACTGCTGAGGGGAGCAGCGAGCGGGTCAGGAGAGGTCTGCCATGCCACGTGGTCACCTCCGGGGCAGGCTGGAATCGAACTCATGCAGAAGAGGCTTTAGATTCTCAGTGCTGTCCTTTAACCCGCTGTGCCACCAGGGAGGGCCGCTAGGTTATGTTTTAATATTAATTTGGAGCAAACCTCACACCATCTGCTCTAGATTATTCCATATAGTAGATACAAATGACCATAGTAATTTTATGATCCTCTGAATTTCTGATAAGTTCATTGTAACTTCTCTCTTTTTTATTCTATTAGTGCTCTTTTTTTCTCTCTGTGAGCCTAGATAGATGTTTTTAATATATCACTTATTCTTTCCAAAGGACCAGATTTTGGTTTCATTGATCTTTAAGAGTACTTTTTGAATTTTCATTTATTCATTGTTTATCTGATCTTAGGTATTTGTTTTTCTTTTTCTGTAGTTCCTTAAAGTGTACTGTGAGTGTTTGGGCTCTTTTTGTTTCAAGATACATGCCTCTCAGTATTGATTATGCTGCATACCAGGTGTCTTGATATCCATGTCTTCATTTTTATTTGTCTTTATGTATATTTACAGGTTTTTTTATTCTCTCATTAACCAAATACTCATTCAGTAGCACATTGTTCAGCCTCCACATGTTTTCATTGTGTTATTATGAAAATGTTCAAGCATACAGAGATGTAAAATAATTATTCTCTGAACATTTAATTATGTACATATGCATATACACTATATACAAGTGTACCTATTCACACATATATCTCACCACTCATACTTGACAATTTTCATTTTTCATACATTTTATCATGTTTGTCCAGTCATGTGTACATGCTACTTTCCTGAATGCATTTTGAAATAAGTTGAAAGTATCAGTAAATTTCATCTATAGTACTCATATAATTAATGAACTTGCTATTTGTTTATATTATTTTAAAATTAAATTTATTTATTATCTACTTAGATTGTTATTCACTTAAAACAATGTTTACTTTCCCTCCTCCCACAGTAGTTTTTCTAAAGTGTATATTAAAAATAGAAACCACACATTTTACTTTGCTATTAGATGAGTTTTGACTAAGGTATCATTTAACTTGTGCAGAATTTAATATAAATACAATCATATTATAAGATTGCTTAAGAGACTTGGTGTACTGTTTTTGAGAATTATCCATGTTGCTGCAACTACTTTTTTTTGCATATATATTTTGTTAAATAATATAATAGTGTGTGAGATGGTACCACATAGTCTTGTTTCTTGAATCTCTTATTGGATACCTGGGTGGTTTCTAGGTTGTTATGTAGAAAATTAGAGCATATCTACATAAATTAGTGTGTGACTGACTGTATGCTCTCCATTTGCATGGGCATATGCATAGAAGAGGAATTTCTAGACCACAGGAAAGGTATGTTTGCCTTTATAAGAAATTACAAACTTTCCCTCCACCACCACCACAATAATTGTGTCATTTTGTACTCCTACCAACATTTTGTAGTTTTTTTGTAAAACAAGGTTAGTCATTCTAGTATTTAGGTAGTAGTATCCAGTGATTTATTTTCTAATGACTCCTTTTTCTATTTGCTTTCTTTTAGACAGTTCGGCATGGTTTTCCTTATCAGCCCACAGCATTAGCCTTTGATCCAGTTCAGAAAATCTTGGCTATTGGGACAAGAACAGGTGCTATACGAATGTATCCTTGATCTTTTTTATTCATTATTTAAAATATTTATTATGAATTGCATTTTCTTTAAATATTCAGGTAAGTGAAATATTTATGACCAAACAAAATTTAATGTTTCTTGAGAAAAAAGTAACAATTGTGAAAATCAGTGTCAAATACAATGATGTAGCCTGATCAATATAACAAGATTATCAATTGTGGTGACTTTCACAAGAACCAGTTTTGGGTTTCATTGCTTTTCTGTTTTGATATTTTAAAATTTATTTTGCATAACTATGGCATTTGATATTTAAATAGATTCTTAGAATAGAAACTGAGGTCATTGACTTGAGATTTTCTTTTCCAATATAAGCTTGTAGTGTAAATTCCTTCCAAATTTATGAATGAGGGTTATTCCATTTATTAATTTTTTTCATTTTGAGGTAATTGTGGGTTTTAATTGTACCTGTAAGAGAACTTATAAGAAACAGATCTTGAGGACTCTTCAACCAATTTTCTCTACTAGTAACATCTTACAAAATGATGGTGTAGCTTCACAACCAGGGTATTGACAGATATACTTATGGTGCAAATTACAAGGATTTCTTGTATTGCCATTTTATGACCCCACCTGTTCCTCTAGTTCTCCCACAACTGCTCCTTGCAACCAATCATTTATTTTTCATTTCAATAATTTTACCACTTAAAGAATGTTATGTAAGTGGATCACAGAGTAGGTAACCTTTTGGAGTTTATCTTTTCACTTTTAGCACAATACTCTGAAATTCAACCAAGTTGTTATATTTTAACAATACAGGTTTTTGCTTTTTTTTTTTAAACATTTACTTATTAAGACATGGATTAGACTATTATGCTTATAGCCACTATGAAAATGTATGCAGATGCTTCCCTATAAACATAAATTTTCATTTTTCTATTATAAATACTGAGGAGTACAATTGGGAAATTGCATGGCATTTGAATGTGTAGTTTTATAAGAGGTCAATGTTTTCCAGAATGGTTGTAACATTTTACATTCTGATCAACAGTATGTGAATGATACTGTATCTTTACATCATTACCGATTTTGTTACTATTTTGTGTTTTATTTTTCATTTCATCATTTAGCAATTTTGTGATACAGTTACCTTTATATATTCCTGATTCTTGTCCTTTGTCAGACATATAGTCTGCAATTGCTTTTTTCTATTCTATCTTTTCACCCTTCTTTTAGAGTTTGGCTTATCAGTTTTTCCTTACAGGTGGTTCTTTTATTTTTTTAGGTTTATTAATTAATACAGAACTGGGTTACAGGGCAGTGAGGGACTTCATCAGAGACAGAGTGGGGAGCAGAACAGGCAGTTCGAGGGAGTACACTGCTAAGGGGAGCAACAGGTGGGAGAGGAGAGGTCTGCCATGTGGGTCACCTCCAGGGCAGGGATCCAACTCGCACTGAGGTGGCTGCAGCCAGCTTGCAGTGTTGCGTCCTAACCTGTTGGGCCACCAGGGAGGGCCCACAGATGGTTCTTTAGGTGTCACATATATAACTCTTTGCTTAACCCCAGCTCTTTATTTCCTTTTACTTCTTTTTTGTAAAAATGTTATAGTTCTACATTTTATATTAAATGTGGGTTCCATTTTGGGTTAATTTTTTAATTTGTATCGTTCTTTATCTGGTTTTGGTACTGGAGTAGTACTAACTTCCTAAAGTGAATTGAGACGTATTCTCTCATCTAGTTTTTGAAACATTGATAACATTTATGTTAATTCTTTAAATGTTTGGTAGAATTCCTAGTGAAAGTTCTTGGGTCTGGCATTATATGAGAGACTTTATATTACATTAAATTTATTTAATAATTATAGGGCTATTTTGGTTTTCTAGTTGAATTTTGGCAATTTATCATAGACTTTGTAATGTTTATTCCTCCTTTTTTGAGCTCATTTTGCCCTTTTTCCTAGATTATTGATTTTAGAATTTTTTTTTACAAATATAATAAAATTTACAACTATTTAGAGATAAGTTTAATTAAAATTAAACTTGTTAAGAATTTGTAAGGAAATTTATTTGTATTGACTTGATATCTTTTCTAAGATATGCAGTTAGTATTATTTTGCTTAATTGGATCTCACAAATTTTGACATGTTTTTATTTTCATTCAGTTACATTTTTAAAATTGTCCCTTTGAGTTTTTGAACCATGAATTACTTGAAAATGTTGAGATTTTCTTATCTTTAGATTGCTGATTTCACTGATTCTCTATTTGTCAACTAGGTGTTGGTTAATATGTTATTGTGTTCCATATTTCTTTACTGCTTAGTAAGTCTATCAAATCCTAGAGTGGAGCAAATTAAGATCCCAGACTCTATCTCTCCTTCCAACACTGTTAGTTTTTGCTTTTTCTTTTGAGGTTCTGATTTGGTGTGCACACACAGGATTAGTATATACTCCTGGTGGATTGACCCTTTATCATTATGTAATTTCTTTGTCTCCAGTAATGATCTTTGCTCCCAAATCTATTTTATTCATATTAATATAGTCATTCCCACTTTTTAAAAAAGCAATAATGTTTTTGTGGCACATCTATTTTTATCCTTTCACTTTAAACCTACTTATGTCATTGTATATGAAATGAGTTTATTGTATGGACATCATATTCTGGGATCATTTTCATTCTTACAAAAGAGCACTATACCTAAATACTTATATATATAGTTAAATTAAGCTTATTTGTATTTTCTTGGAAGTTCCGTTCAATATGAAAACAAAACACTTAAATTTAAATTATATATATATATATATATATATATATACATATATATATATATGAAATTACTTTCAGGTTTATAACATGATGATTCAGTATTTGTATATACTGTGAAATGACTACAATAATTCTCATTAACATGTATCACACATTATTTAGAAGAGCATTGTATCTTTTGATCAAATTCACCCATTTTACCCACCTATCTTGGGCAATCACAAATTTGTTCTCTTTCAGCTCAGTTTTCTGTTTTAGAGTTTACATATAAGTGAGATCATATGGTATTTATCTTTCTCTGTCTCTCTATGTCTCACATTTAACTCCATATAAAAATCTTTAACATTCATCCATGTTTTTTTCCTTTACTTTTCAAAAGCTTAATTATGATCTTCCTTGGCATGGTTATCTCTGGATTTACCTTGTTGTGTGCCCTCTGCAGAGTGACAGAGGGGTAGGATGAAAGATCAGTTCACCAATCATCCCCTGTTAAACTCTGTGGAATGGGGAAAAGAGTAATTTTTCATTGTTTGGCTAGAATAGAATGGGTAATGCCAAATTTGCTTTTAAGCCACCTATTCCCAGTCTTTGTGTGGGATAGCAACACTTTAATGAACTTTTTTTTAAAATCTGTGCCAACTGATGGTACAACAGAGTTGGAGATTTCTGCACTGCCCTATCTCAGTTCTATAGGCTACAATAAGGAAACCCAAGAGACTCACTGCTGTGTCATTCCTCGAGTCCTGTGTATTTGTTCATGCCTCATTCTTTCTACCATTCAGAGTTTCCCTATGCTTGTTTATAATGTTATATCTAGGAATTTTTCATTTTTAAGAGGTTGAAATGGGGCACTTCTTTGTAGCAGAATTGAAAGTCTCCATTCCTACATTTTAATACATTTTGTTTTCCTTCATTTAGTTCAACATATTTTCTAAATTATGCTTGATTTTTTCCCTTGACATATGGGCAGTTTACAAGTGAGTTATTTAGCTCCTCAATTTCAGAGATTTTTCTAGAGCTCTGTCTGTTGTTGACTTCTAATTTAATTCTCTTGTGGTCAGAGAATATACTTCGTTATGACCTGGTTCCTTTTAAGTTAATTGAAGCTTTTATGGCCCTCTGTGGTCGATTATAAATGTTAAATATGCATTTGGAATGAATGTGTGTTCTGTTGTTGAACAAATTGAGCTATAAATATCAATTAGGTAAAATTGATAGTGTTTAGATCATCTATATTTGTACTGATTTCCTATTACTGAGAAGTTGTATAGAAATCTCCCACTATACTTGTAGATGGATCTATTTATTCTTTCAGTTCTCTTGATTTCGTTTTGTTTTGTTTCATGTAGTCTCTTTGTGTAAACATTTAAGAGCCTTACATCCACTTTGAGTTGACTCTTTTAACATTATGAAATGACTTCTTTGTCGTTAGCAATTACTTTTTATAGCTGAAATTTACTTTATATGGCTATAGCCATTAAAGCTTTCCTTTGATTAGTCTTAGCATAGTATATGTCTTTCCATTTCTTCTATTTTAATACATTTCTGTTTTCATACTGAAATCTTCTTAGGTAGCATATAGCTTGGTATGTGTTCATGTAGCAGCATATAGTTTGCTATTTTTTTTTTGGCTGATTTGACACCTTCTTTTTAAAATTACCACTTATTAGTTTTATTTTAATATTAAAAGATTCATGCTGTAACATATACTTTTACTTTGTAAAGATTTACTTATTTGTGTATACAGGACTGGGGAACAGGCCAAAGGTGCAGGGATGGTGAGAGGATTCACCAGAGACAGAAAGGCAGATTTATAAAATACACTACAGAGTGGCACAGCAAGTGGCAGTTCAGAAGAGGTCTGCCATGCCATGTGGGTCACCTCCCTGCCCGAGTTTCGAACTTGTGCTACAGTGGCTGTGATAGCCTCATTGTGCTGTGATTTAACCTGTTGCATCAGTAGGGAGGGCCCCAGTGAATGAAATTTTTTAATTTTAATGAGGCCTAATATTTCTTTTTTCTTTGGTTGCTGATGATTGCAATATCATGAACCTCTCATGTGTTTTTTTCTAATACTTTTATACTTACATCTAAGACATAGAAAGTAAATTTTTATATTTGGTATAAAAAATTAAATTTTGCATGTGGCTATCTGATTTTCTGCAGTATATCTCTCCAGTACTGTCCTTTGCCACATGAATGGTTTTGGTATAATTGTCAAAATTATTTGACCATATATGTGAGGATTTATTTCTGGACACTGTAGTC